GGCTGGAGCACCCCACTCCTGAGCCGTCACCCGGGGTTGATCTGGAGCGAGCACCCCACTCCTGAGCCGTCACCCCTGGGCTGGGCTGGGAGCTGGATCTCTCAGCAGCAGAGACCCAGAGTTGTCTTGGAGAGCTTCCCAAACCCCATTTCTTGAAGGCCCTTCTTGAACCTTGACCTGTCACTGCTCCCGGTACTACCCCGGCCACCCTGGTTAGGGGGCATGGTGGACTTCATTCACCCTGTGCCCGGTTAGCTTTTCAGCAGCTCTGTCATCTGCTGTCTCTTTGGAAACTGACAGGAACCCATTTCCCATGTGGTAGCTGTTGTTGATGTCCTCTGGGTGACTGGTCCGTGTCTTCTGCTAGGGGCCTTACAGATCTAACTTCCCTTTCTGCCCTTTACCAGCTGAGCGTGTACACCACCACGAGGTCCAACCTCGGTGCTGAGAACAATGTCGACCTGGTGTTGAACGTGGAAGACTTCGACGTGGAGTCCAAATTTGAAAGGTAGAGTTATGAGTCAAAGTGCCAAGGGTAGGATTGGTGAAAGCAGTGTTGGTGTGAAGAGCCTTGGGGAACTGTTGTTTAAATTGTCAGTGTCCATAATAAGGGCGTTTTGGAGAAGCCGGGTGATGGACTGTTGTGTGTTTTAACCAGAGAACTACCAGTGCCATGTAAACAGTCCAAGTTTTGTTTTATGTGCAAGTAGCAGGTGATGAACATGTGGTTTAGAAGCTGGCTGCGACTAGAACACACTGTTCAAGCTCATCTGGAATCAGAAGTGGGCTATTTGATTGCAGTGTGACACATGGCAGCCAGCCAGTGAGTTGCTAGAAGAGCAGGTGTCGTGGAGGGGAACGGCCTGCTTGCTGGAGAAGCAGCAGCGCCAGCTGTTTCTAACAGTGAAGAACTTCTCACCTCCGGGTGGCTGTAGTGCACTTACGCCACCTCTCTGGGGGAAGGGCTTTGACAGGAAATTGTCGTGAAGTGAGTGAAAAGTAACATCAGAATAGGTCAAACAATGGACAATCTGTCTAAATACATCAGTGTTGCTCCTGGGGCTCCAGATCTTACAGGCTCGGGTTTACTCCCCACAGAAGGTGTTTAAACACGTCTCTATGGTCTTGGCTGCAGACAAGTCCTCTGTAACACACGTCTTCATAGGGCGCCATCAGAAAGGGGCCAATGAAACCAGGGAGGGAGGCTGCTGGGTTAGTTACACTCAAAGCAGCGGGCAGCTCAGAAGGGCGTGGTGACTGGTTTGTCTTCTGAAATTCCAAAGATGCAATCTTGATAGGTTTTCTTGGAGGACACAAGGGTATCACGGGGGCTCATTATGAGGAAGTTTTCAGAAAAGTGCACTGATGAGAGAAAAGCCCAGGAAAGTTGTACCAAGGAACTGTTCCTGTCATGACGATGTACATGCTCCTTCACTGAGAATTTCATTGGGGAACCTTACCCAGCCCACCCTACAGCCCTGGTCTTGCCCCGTCAGAATTCTTGTTCCCCAAACTCAGTGTTTAAAAGGAGCATGATGTGAATCCCTTAAAGCTACTAAAACTGCCGCTGGGATGTGCTGTAAATGGAAGAGTAAAGAATTGTTCGGGGAAGGGTGACAGAGATGGCAGCGGAGCCTCCCTCACCATGTGACGTTGCTTCATGACATCTCCTCACCCAGGTCTGTGCACGTCTGAAGGCGGCACTTCTAGCTGGTACCGGTACCCTGCCCAGAAGAATCCTTTAGTCCTGGTGTGGCGCCGTAGGGTAAGCACTGGACTGCTAACCACGAGGTCAGCGTTGTGAGTTGGAAGTGACTCGAAGACACTTCACAACAATTTCGTAGTAATGCTTTTTGACTTAGCCGGGTGTGTAGTTGTAGTTGTTGGTATTGTTAAGTGCTGTCGAGTCCATTCCAACCCATAGCGACCCTGTATAGGGTTTCCAAGGAGCAGCTGGTGAGATTGAACCGCTGACCTTGCAGTTCAAACAGCTTTGCAGTCTGACACATTAGTCCATAGCGCCACACCAGTTGTGGTTTTGTGCCGTAGTCAGTTCCGACTCACAGTGACCCTGTATAGGGTTTCTGATGAGTGACTGGTGGGTTTGAACTTGCAGCCTTGTGGTTAGCAGTCCAGGGCTTATCCTGTAGCCCTGCACTAGGACTTCCTGGGATGTAAACTAACTTTTTAAAGTTACATGTAACATATGATTACAGTTATAAAGCTGTCAAGTTACATGTAACATATGGCTACAGTTATAAAGCCGTCAAGTTACATGTAACATATGGCTACAGTTATAAAGCCGTCAGGTCCCTGAGTGTAGTTTCACAGACCTGAGGCACCAGAGGGAAGGGGTTTGCAGTTTGCAGGGTGGGGAGAGGTAACGTCTTTCTTAAAGGCTCTGTGTCCCAGCATCCTCTCACAGGGTGCAGGTCCTGGGAGCCCCCACCTATACGTCTCCTAAGGGCGGCAAATATTTGGAACTTTTTACCATTACTCACATGATTTAGGAGGGGCGGGAGAACGATCAGCATCAGCAGTAGGTAGAGTGTGCTGTTTCAGGGGCTCCGGTGCAGGGCTGGATGTGGGGTGCGGGTGCATGGCCGTGCCTTCGCATAGTGCCCACCTGCCAGGCCTCTGCTCAGTCTGGCCCTGAGGTGCTCACAAAGCTGACATCAGCTTGGAAGTCAGCCAGACACCAACACGCTAGCCCACTGGCTGTGTCTGAGCATTCGCCTGTGGAGGTGTGCTTCCAATTGGCCGGGGGTCTGGGTCTCAGCTCTGACTCTGCTTTTGAAACGTCTGGGTGCGTTAGCCACAGAAACCATGGCCCTGTGTGCAGATGTTGGTGGCAGGAAGTCTTCTCCAGGTGGCTTTCTTCTCGGTACGTCTAAGCTCACATGAGTTGACTTAAGATAGCATTCAGTAGAAACCTGTCTGAGGAGTCTCTTGTGTGACTGACATTACGATTTGTCTGGTTTTAGGACAGTTAATGTTTCTGTACCAAAGAAAACGAGAAACAACGGAACTCTGTATGCCTACATTTTTCTCCATCACGCTGGCCTCCTTCCGTGGCACGATGGGAAGCAGGTGCACCTGGTGAGCCCTCTCACCACCTACATGGTCCCCAAGCCTGAAGAAATCAACCTTCTCACCGGGGAGTCTGCAACGCAGGTCAGTGACTGCTGACCAGAGGGAAGCCTCCTGCTCCCACTTCAGACTTCCCCGTGCGTGTCTGTATGTGCAGCACGTGCACTGGAAGGCTGTTGGCAGCATACCTGCCTTTCAGGGACCTGCTCTCAGCAGGTTCGCAGGTACTGTCTGTGTCATATTAGTGACTTCCCTGGTCTCTGAGGAGCATTGTTTCTGCTCAGCTTGTTCATCGCCTTCTCTGACGGCTTCACAGGGGAGAGTGCTGGGTTCACCGAGGACTGTGGAGAGGACTGGCCTGCCCCTGACTGTGGGTTCTCACAGTATCATTCCACAGTTCGTAAAGGCTGTGTGTACAAATGCAACCAGGAAATGACAAAAGTGATGGTTAATGGGACCGTGAGCATTCTAACGACCACATACTGTGTCTTCTCGCTGCTCGTTGGGCCTGTCAGCAGGGATCATAAAATTACACTGTTTCATGTTGTCATTAGTGGTGGTCAAGTTGGTTCCGACTCACAGCATCCCTGAATAGGGTTTCCCAAGGAGCGACTGGTGGGTTTGAACTGCTGACCTTGTGGTTAACAGTCCAGTGCGTATCCTGCAGCGCCACCAGTGCTCCTTTCTCGTAGATATGGAATGAAGGGGTTTTCCTGGTAGAGTTTTGTGTTTGGAATTCCACCCACCGTCTGTGGTGTAGAAGCTGTCTTCCCAGCGGTGTTACAAGTCACCACCCAACCAAACCCACTCATAGCTGCCCTGTGGGACACAGTAGACCTGTCCCGTGGGGTTTCCAAGGCTGTACCAGGCGGCTTTCAAAGTTTGTGGGAATATTTCACTCTCTTTTCGTGCCATTTTCCCATGAACTTTTTGAAGCCCCCGCTTGAATCTTACAGGAGCATCCTTCTCCTAAGGATCAGCTGGTGGGCTTGAATCACCGACCTCCCAGGTAACAGCTGAGTGCTTTAAGCACTGTGCCAGTAGGACATCTTTACTAATCACCACACCCACTACCATCGAGTTGGTTCAGACTCATAGTGTTCCGAGGCTGGGCCCTTGATGGGAGCAGACAACCTCTTTATCCCAAAGAGCGACTAGTGAATTTGAACTGCTGACCTTGTGGTTCGGCGTCCAGTGTTTGTCTTAGGGAGCAGGACTGTATAGGGTGCAGATTCCAGACAGGCACAGGACCACCCCCACCACCCCCCGTCATGTCAGCCCCTGTACTGTTCCTGACCAGTCGCCCACCTGTGTCACAGCAAATCGAAGCTGAGAAGAAGCAGACCAGTGCTGTGGACGAGCCCGTGTCACACTGGCGGCCGCGGCTCACACTGAACGTGATGGTGGACGACTTCGTCTTTGATGGCTCCTCTCTGCCCGCCGACGTGCATCGGTACATGAAGATGTAAGTGTCCTGGGCGGTGGCCCGGACCCTGTGCTGTCATTGTACCAGACTCACCAAGCTGGGTGGGTCACGCCTGGATCACTGAGGGGCATGCCGCACGCTGCTCAGGGTGCCTGCAGTTCTCCTTCATCTTCAGATGGTGAAAATGGGCAGTCCTGATCAGCGCCGTTTCACCAACTTAAAGCACTTCCCCACCCCCACCTGATGCAAACAGTTCTGTGTGTTAGCCTCATGCTGTCTTTGTCTATTGAGCATGATTCATTTAGATGTGCATAAAATGTTCTCTTTAGACTGTAACTTAGAATCACGTCAGCATTGGTTAAACATTGTTCTTGGTCAGTGCTTTCAAGTCAGTTCTGACCCATAGCGACCTTGTATAGAGTTTCCCAGGAGCAGCTGGTGAGTTTGAACCGTTGACCTTGACGTTCAAACAACTGCAGTCTGACGCATTAACTCACAATTCCATACTGGGACTCCGTAGTTCTTAAAATTTAAATGTTTGACCAACTTAAATCAATCTGTGTCTCCCATATTTTATGTAGTGCTTAAGAATCGGGCTATGAACCTAAAGGTCAGCAATTTGAAACTATCAGCTGTTCTGCCAGAGAAAGATGACGCTTTCTGCTCCCGTAAAGATTTACAGCCTCAGAAACCCTGTGCAGGGTCGCTATGAGTCGGAACCGAGTCCACAGCACACAGCCCCCAGCATGCTAACTTATTTCCAGCAGTCTTTCCTGGTGACATGTCCGAAATCAGTGGGCTGTAGGCTCGTCAGAGGCTTACTTTGTCACTCTGTGGCCATCCACTTAAACTCGGTGACCTTGTCATCACCACAGCTAGAACGCCTCAGTCCGCCTGTCTTCTTTTGCATTCTGTGACTTGTGCGTATGTACGAGGGGGTTTAACCATGGCTTGGGCCAGGCACATGTCCATCTTCACAATTTCCCCTTTGCTCCAACACTTCAGAGGTCTTTCCCAGAAGATGTGCCCAGTGCAGTGTGGTGCTGGAGGGTCTTTGTGGGTGGTTTTTAACAGCTGTAATGCTTTTCCAGTGTCAAGCTCTTTGCAAGTTTCTTTAATCCCTCACCTACTGGTGGTGACCATTACGTCATTTCCTATCTTTTGCTCCAGATGTTTTAGTGACTGAAGGGTGTTTGTGACACCTGTAGGTTCTTCTCATCGGTATGAAATGTTCTGCCCGGGATTTGCCCTGGGTGGACCTGGTTTCTGGGGGGCAATAGTCTTGCTGACTTACACTGTGCTTTAATGCCCTAGGATCCAATTAGGGAAAACTGTCCATTACTTGCCCATCTTGTTCATCGACCAGCTGAGCAATCGAGTCAAGGATCTGATGGTGAGTGCTCTGCCTCTCCCCAGGAACATACTGGTGGGCCTCTGTGGCTGTCCCTCAGTCCCTCAGGAATCATTTAGAGAACTGGTTCTAAAACATAAACCCTTCCTTTGCCATGGTGGGGAGTGCTCTGTGAGAACATGAGAGGGCCCCACCAGGGGGCCTGTCGGGGACCTTCCTCATTCTTGGCTTGCTGCTTGTTGGACCCCTTGCTCGCCTCCCCTGAGCTTCGGTGTCCTCAGTGAGAAAATGTACCTGGAAACACTGGATTGTTTGGGCGACTGGGTGCCCAGAGCGCAGAGCTTAGGAACGTTTGTCTGTTGGGTGCGGTTTTCCTGGACAGAAGACACCAAATACAGTGGAATCTAGAGCAGGTGCCTACCTCCTCCCCCAGGTCTGCTCCTGCTCGGTGGGGGCCAGCAGACATGCCGTTGGCTTGTCCCGCAGCCTGGGAGGTGGGCAGCTGTGGGCATGGCTGAGTTCCAGCTTCAGGCCTCAGCCCTGCTCCGAGCCCTGGTGCTCACCCTGCTGTAGGGGCTGCTGAGGGTGAAGGAGACAGGCAGCGAGCTCAATGATACTGGGAGCATGTAGCCACCTGTACCAGAACTGTCCTGTGGTGTCACACTGTCATTATTGCCCTTGGTTGGCCGCTGAGCTGGTTCAGGTTTTTTGGTGGCCATTGGGAGTCCGCCCAAATCGTGTTAGCCCCGTGCCCCATCCTGGTGGCACTGTCATGATCTGTTAGGCCCTGACCCTTATGACCCAGCCGATTTCCATTCACTGGGTTTTAGAAGCAGCTCTCCAGGCTTCCTGAAGCCCAGCCGTCACACGCCTCCATTGGACAGGAGGTGCATTCTCTCAGAGACAGAGTTCGCACACTCAAGCCACCACTGCGCCCAGCTCAACTGCTAGCTTTCTCAGGAACAGGGCGGCAGCTCCCTCGGGCTCGGCTCCTGCCCTCAGCCATGTGCTGCATACAGCCTGGTCTTAGCACATGCTGACTGGTGGGCACATCGGACATGCTGGGCTTGCCACGTCTGCCAAGAGCGACACAAGGCAGAACGGGCACAGGAGTGGCACACTCAGAGGGTGTGGGTCTGAAGAGGGTGGGCATGGACCCTGTTTGTGTTGGCAGTGTGGCTATGTACTAGGGGTGGGGGCAGGGGAGCGGGGAGGCTGCAGTGTTGTCTTAGGTCTGGTGTGACTCACGAGGGGTCTGTGGGCTCGGGTACAGAGGCAGGGCATGTGGCCGGGAGGCCAAGGACACACTGTCCCCGGACAGGTTTCTGGATGGGTGATGCCAGTTACTGAGCTCTGGTTCTTCCCTCAGGTCATAAACCGCTCCACCACCGAGCTGCCGCTCACCGTGTCCTACGATAAGATCTCTCTGGGGAAGCTGCGCTTTTGGATCCACATGCAGGACGCCGTGTACTCCCTGCAGCAGTTCGGTGCGTCCCCACGCGGGTTTGGCTTCCAGCCCAAGTGGGCTGCGCTGCAGCTGTGTCCAGGAGGAGACTGGCAGGCGGGAGCCCCCTTTAGTTTCATGTTATTGACTGAGAGTTTGTCCAGGCTCTGACCCACCGTAGTTATTTCAGCACAAATGTGAGCCTCCTTCATTGCAGTGTCTCCCACGTGAGTCTCATCAGAAGACCACCAGGATCTTAGCTCCATTTTACTTCTGAAAACATGCTTGGCGGTTATCGGAAGATTTTGTTTACGTAGAACGTAATGGTTGAAGTGCCGTGATTTTGGCTAAATGAACTTTTTTACTCTCAGCAAGGTTTCATGTACTGTCTAAAACTGCCTGTTTCCTTTTTCCTCTGCAGGGTTTTCAGAGAAGGACGCTGATGAAGTTAAGGGAATTTTCGTAGACACCAACCTGTATTTCTTAGCTCTGACCTTCTTTGTCGCGGCGTTTCATGTGAGTGGCCCCCAGCATTCTGTTGGAGGCAGTGATTGCAGCCTGTGGGGAGCTGCTGGGATCCCCACCATCCTCGGCTAAGGTCAGGTGACGGGCTGATGCCTGTGGCACCGCTTGGCCCTGCGGCCCTCGTGCCCCTCCCATTCTTCTGTGGTCCATAGTCCATGCTGAGCCAAGGGAGGCACGAAGGGGTGGGCGCAGGAGCTTAGTGACAGCGTTGTCTGCTGCTCGGGAAGGCTGTCGGGGAAAGGAGTTCCAGAATACCCTCCTGGGGACCAGGACCTCTGTGGTGCGACTTAGCAGGCGCCGTGCCTCATTGCATGGATTCTGGTGGCTGGTTTACAGGGAACACCTCAGCCTGGGAAGAAAGCGACTCCCTGGGCACGGCTGGGTCAGCCTGAGTCAGGAGGGAAAGGGGGAGTGACTGCAATTATGGGGACCTAGGACTCAGAGCGGCCCTGTAGGACAGAGACTAGCCGCCCCCAGTGGAGGGTCCCAGGCTGTCATCTTGAGGGGAGCAGACTGCCTCATCATTCCCCCATCATGCCTCTGAACTCATTACCAAAGTACAGCTTCCCAAACTGTCCCGGGACATTAAATATCGTGTTTGTACTGAAAGGTGGGTGTGTGCAGGAGCCGGCTCAGGCACCTCTGAGGTACTGAACCAAGGCTGCTCACGCTGAGGAAAGTGGCCCTTGTCGGCCCAGCCCAGGAGGGGAATTCAGAGTGGAGAAAGCAAACATCAGACATCCCTGTGGGCATTTTCCCCCCACCCTCAGTATCCCAGGTGCTTATTGTAAAAGGGGCCCCTGCAGAAACACACCATTGACTGCCTAGCTTCTGCCATCGGCAGCACCCAGGATGTAGTCAGGATGTGTCTTGCTGTTGAGATTTGGGCTCCCACCTCTGCGTTTCACTTAGGGAGCACCAGTGAGAAAGGCCACTTTAGAGTAACTTCCTACCTGGTCTGTTTGCAGCTCCTTTTTGATTTCCTGGCATTTAAAAATGACATCAGTTTCTGGAAGAAGAAGAAGAGCATGATTGGGATGTCCACAAAAGCAGGTAGGTGCTCAGAGCATTGCCGGCCCCACTCACTGCTGACCAAGATGGGCATCCGATGGATGAAACCCTGACACGTAGGGCTTGGGATTGTGTGTGATGGATGCAGGTGACCCATCCCGCCCTGAGCTCGTAGTCCCTGCTGCCCCCTGGAGGCTTATGTCATAACAGCCAGAGAGTTCCCTGTGTGTGGGGGACAGATCCCTGTGTGTGTGCCGGACAGATAACCCAGTGTGTGCCAGACAGATAACCCAGTGTGTGCAGGACAGATCCCTGTGTGTGCGGGACAGATAACCCAGTGTGTGCAGGACAGATCCCTTTGTGTGCCGGACAGATACCCTGTGTGTGGAGGGGGGCAGATACCCTGTGTGTGCGGGACAGATCCCTGTATGTGTGGGACAGATACCCTGTGTGTGCGGGTCAGGTACCCTGTGTGTGCAGGACAGATACCCTGTGTGGGGGGCACAGATCCCTGTGTGGGGGGCACAGATCCCTGTGTGTGCGGGACAGATAACCCTGTGTGTGGGGCACAGATTCCAGCAGCCTTTGCAAACACTGAATCCAGCCTGAGCTCAGAAGAGGCCTGCAGGACCCCTTGTCGTCTGTCACCCCAGCACCGATGGAGCACTTGACTCAGACTGGCTGTATTTTAAGCGAGACGATGTGTTTTATCTCAGCACATCTTCCCTGTCTCCCGCATGGGTTTCCTGATACTTCTTTGTTGCCCATATTTAATGATCAAGGCATGATTTTCTGTGCCTTATTTTGCTAGTATTTTTCTCTTAAAATTCCCCACATAAGATCAAATGAGTCGGGCTGTGAGCCTCAAGGTCAGCAGTTCGAAACTACCAGCGGTTCCACAGGAGAAAGATGAGGCGTTCTACTCCCGTAAAGACTACAGCCTCAGAACGCCTACACAAGAGTTGTGATAAGTTTGAACCGACTCCACAGTACTTAACAAAGGTCAAACCAGTTACTGTGGCATGGATCTGAATGGTGTCGGTAGGAGTGTTGTTGTTGTTAAAGTGCCATCAAGTTGGTTCCAACCCATAGCCACCCTGTATAGGGTTTCCAAAGAGTGGCTTGTGAGTTTGAACTGCTAACGTTGTGGTTCAAAGCTGTGCTAGGGTTTTCAGTGACTTGAGTTTTCAGAAGCAGACTCCAGGCCTCTCTTCTGAGACCCCTCTGGGTGGACTCAAACCTCCAGGCGTTTGGTTAGCAGCTGTGCCCGCCACAGATGCCATGGTTGAGAGAGGCCTGTTAGTCCCGATCCATGAGCTGTGAGTGGAGTTCTAATTTAGTGCTGAGTTGCTCCCTTCACGGTGAAGCAGGGGGCAGGACTGCTAGGCGCTGAATGAACTGACGTCTGGCATGCTGCGTGTCTCTGTCCCCAGTGCTCTGGCGCTGTTTCAGCACCGTGGTGATATTCCTCTTCCTTCTGGATGAGCAGACGAGTCTGCTGGTGCTGATCCCGGCCGGCGTGGGAGCGGCCATCGAGGTGAGTGCGCACAGGGACTGATGCTGAGGCGTGGGCCTTGAGTGCTGCTGGCTGCAGCCCGGCAGGACCAGGCACTCCCTGAAGGGGAGCAAGGGCTGTCACCGGAGCCCCCTTCTGAGGACCAGCTGTCATGTCAGCAGCGGTGCTAACGGACCTCCAGGAAAGGCACCACAGTGACAGAACAGGGCTTGGTTAGGGCACTTTGGACCTTTTTCTCATAAAGAGTAAGCAAGATGAGAGGATAACAGCCTCACTGACTATATCCTAATGTGCTCGATAAGTTGTCCTGAGTGTGCACTGCACTGGAGCAGTAGAGAACTCTGGATGACATGTGAATGGGCGCTGCATGGGCAAAGGATGTTTGAATGGGAACTGCGACGTCTGGGATGTGGTGTGAGCAGGCACTGTGTAGATATAGGATGTGGTGTGAGCGGGCACTGTGTGGACACAGGGTATGGTGTGAGCGGGCACTGTGTGGACACGGTGTGGTGTGAGCGAGCACTGTGGACACGGTGTGGTGTGAGCGGACACTGTGGACACGGTGTGTGGTGTGAGCGGACAGTGTGTGGACACAGGATGTGGTGTGAGCGGGCACGGACATGGGGTGTGGTGTGAGCGGGCACTGTGGACACAGGGTGTGGTGTGAGTGGACACTGGACACGGGGTGTGGTATGAGCGGACACTGGACACGGTGTGGTGTGAGCAGGCACTGTGGACACAGGGTGTGGTGTGAGCGGACACTGTGTGGACACGGTGTGTGGTGTGAGCCGGCTGTATGCACACAGTATGTGGTGTGTGCAGGCACTAGACACAGGATGTGCTGTGAGCGGACACTGTGTGGGCACAGGATGCAGGCATCCAGCACTCTGCATGCTGGGACAGAGGCTGTGTTTCCACTAGGCCCTGCCACATGCCACACAGCTGGTGTTTTTGTCCAATGAGGACTGTAGCCCGCAGTACCAGCTGGGGAACAATGGACGTAAATGACTTGATAGCATCATGGGCAGGTGGTGTCCTTTGGGTCAGAAGTCACTGTGTGAAAACTGGTGTGAAGGTAGGCATGAGGGCATCAAGCCATGACCAGGCCAGAGTGCGGCCATGGGAAGAACAATGAGTGAGACCCCAATTTTGGAGAGATGGGGACTGACTGGTGTCATGGAGCGGTGGGGAAGGCTGACCTGCAGCCATGGGCGTCGTCCTGAATGCCCCCGACTGCGGCTTGAGCTTGAGGATACAGGATGGTGGCTGAGTCCTCGTGAGCACAGACCTGGTACACGGCCCTAGGCTCAGGGCAGTGCCCACAGTGGGAAGTAGAACAGAAAGCCAGCAGGGTCCAGGCCATCAGAGCCTGTAGACTGGGAGTCACCCTCCGGCTACTGCTCAGGTACTCAGTCTTGGCTGGTCTACAGCTTTTGTATCTTAGATTGACTATTGAAAATTTTCCCTTTTTCTTCTCAGCTGTGGAAAGTGAAAAAGGCTTTGAAAATGACTGTTGTTTGGAAAGGCCTAAGACCTGAACTTCAGGTACATTTTTTTGTTGTAATGATTAACCCATGTCCTCAAAAGATAGTCTATATATGACTAACCGATATCTTATCAAAAAGGTCTGTGACGAATCTGTGTCTTCTCAGGAGAGTCTATATACGATGAACCCACGTCCTCTCGGGAAAGTATATATGACTAACCCGTGTCCTCTCAGGAGAGTGTGACTAACCCATGTTCTCTCAAGACAATCTGTGACTAACCTACATTCTTTCAGGAGAGTCTGTGACTAGTCCTCTTGGGAGATTATATATGACTAACCCACGCCCTCCGGGGAGAGTCTGTGACTAACCCACGTCCTCCGGAGAGAGTCTGTGTCTAACCCACGTCCTCTCGGGAGAGTCTGTGACTGACCCACGTCTTCTAGGGGGAGTCTGTGACTAACCCACGCCCTCCGGGGAGAGTCTGTGACTAACCCACGCCCTCCGGGGAGAGTCTGTGTCTAACCCACGCCCTCCGTGGAGAGTCTGTGACTGACCCACGCCCTCCGGGGAGAGTCTGTGACTGACCCACGCCCTCCGGGGAGAGTCTGTGACTGACCCACGCCCTCCGGGGAGAGTCTGTGACTGACCCACGTCCTCCGGGGAGAGTCTGTGACTGACCCACGTC